TATAATAATAATAATAATATCTGCTTGCACTTGCAGTATACATCACTTTCAATCACAAAGGATGTCACAGTGCTTTACATAGTGCACCGCAGCCATTATCAGGTGGAGAAGTGCAAAATCACCTATTGGATTAATGGTTGACTGAGATGATTCCGTTTTCCTAAAGAATGAGGTGTTTTCCTCTGTTTTTGTTCCCTTCTGAAGCTCTTTTTGAAAACTTGTGTGGAGGGTTTTAATGGAATTGAAAACCCCGTTTCATGGATACATGTAACATCTTTTCACCACTAATAATTTATGCAGAAGTGCTTTTGATTGAGCTGTGCGAACATGATATGATGACAGGCTGCGAAACATTGTTTCTTGCACTCCCTGTGACATGTGGAGAAAAATGACATAACAAGAAGTGTCACAATTTCACAACACATGTATGAGAAGAGTCGTGTGCGGCCAGATAGATGGTACAGTAACTTGCAGCGTTTCGAATAAAAAATGGACCCATGTGTGCGATAAAGGCCACACACAGGTTTATTGAGAGAGAGTTTGTGCAAGAAGCTTAAGGAGTGAGGTAGCTGACAGGATAATCAGGAAACAGGACCGGACTGGCAAACAGGAACAGGAACAGGAAGCGGAGCTGCGGAGGGTCGTCAGATAGCAGGACGCAACACCAGAAAAGCGCTATATAAGTGTAAGCAATTATTATTATTATTAACACAGATCCCAGAGACACGGAGCTCACAGATCAGGGCACAGCGAGATGGGGGGATGAGAGGGGCATCACAGTTTGCATGCACAGAATTAAAGATTTAACTAGCCCCCTATAGAGATAACAGCTCAGTAATACAGAAGAAGAACATGCTTGGGGAATAGTACTGCCAGGAACAGCATAACATTGAATGGGAGTGACTTGGGCTTTCGTGGACCATCAGTCCATCTTCACTAGACTCCAGTGGTGCAGCGTCTGCTGGATCACCATAGCAGGAGCACCGAGATCCTGCCTGCTGGCAAGCAAGGATGTGTAAGATGAATAAGTACGTTATTGCCCTGCCTTTCTCACACCTGAAGAAGGCTCCACGGCCAAAACATTGTGTTTTCTTTCTTCTCTGTTCAGCATGGAATAAACCTATTACTGGTTCCTTTGCAGCCTATGCATGCTGACGCAGCTCCCCACCTGAACTGTTTAAGATGAAAGCCTGTTCTGGGTCTTAAATGATAAAGGCAGAATGTGTTGGTCTCAGCAGAATTTAGTCTGTAGTACAGTTGTTTTAATGGCAACTGAAATGCAGTGTTGTAATGACAAAGTTTTGAGACCTCTGTTGCACTTGTTGGTGCAGCAACATTAATGTCAAGGGAATCCCTCCTTTTTTCAGCCCAAGAATGACAAAGTTTACTTGAAGCTTTCTACTTCAATCTGGGATTAATATCATACAGTTAATGCATCACTAGATTGAGTTGCAATCAAACAGATGTGGGATGATTTTTGTGGTTGTATAAAGCTTTGTGAAATACTGCCATTTAGTGTTGCTGATCTAATAGGTGCTTCAGAGATGGAATGGAGAAATATCCCGATGGGCTGTGTGTACCGCCTCTGACAGTCTGTGCCAAGCCGTTTGCGTGCTTGCTTTCGTGGTAATTGTATAAAGTAGCACATTGCTTTATTGCTGAATATGTGTAAGAGTACTTGCATCACTTAGTAAACTACACGTTGTATTTCTTATCTTCTATGATTAATCGAGGAGCAGCAATACTATTTTTTGTGTTTGACAGTACCTTTAATTTGAGGCAGTTTACATTTTGTTCCCTTCCTAGATCTGTGTTCATTTATTATGTTCAAACTGTATGTATGGGGTATGTTGCCTATCCTCAAGAGGCTCATAGAGTCATTGCTTAACAAGCACATGCATTCTTTCACACACGGTGTAGAGACTGTTGAAAGTGGTGCGGTATTGATGTTTTGCTATGTAAGTACAAAATCCCACTCCGGCCTAGAAAAATCTGCCCTCCCTAAAGTTCCATCTTAATTCAGTTGATGGAGAAAATTCTCTTCACTTCTCTTTTGTGGAGTGAGGCTGCTGGCTACCCCATATTACACAGGTCAATGCTACACTTCCAACTAATACTGTTCACTTTCAATAGTGTGTCTCCTTCATCCAATTATTGTAGGATTAGTAGAACATTGTGCTACTATGTATACATTACAGTTCATCTCGTACATTAAGTTTGACAAGAACCTGGTTCTCTTGTGTCATTTACTGTTTAATTATATAAAATATACGTTATTGGCAATATAGTGCAACTTTACATAAAATGTTAAGTCAGGAAGTAATTTTATGTTTCATTTTTCTTTTTTCTTTTATATGTTATATAAATTGAAAATTAAGAACGTTGAACACTTCAGCTGTTTTTCTAACCTGCTTTATAATGTGGCTGTTAAACAGTAAAATCATGTTTATGACCTGTGTTTCTGATGAATTTAGTATGCATCGTTTATTAGCTGAAATTGTATTATATACCCAAGTGAATTTCTTCTCAGTATATTTGCTTTTTAAACCCATATTGGAGACTCAGTACAAGAAGTTAATTCAATATTCAGAGTTTTACATTTTCTACTTCTACTTCTCTCTCTGAAAATCTTGTTGTTGCCTGGTCATTCAGCTTTTAAAGAAGCAGTAGCTGCTGTACTTAACTGCAGTTTAAAAATGAAAATACTAAAGTGAGAAAATCTTCAAATGTATATGTCATGTTCTGGAATTCCACTGGATGCAAGGAGAGTCGATTTTTATTTTTTGTTTCACATATAGTATTTAGTATGTCCATCCTTCCATTTTCTAACCACTTTATCCAATAGAGGGTTGCGAGGGAGCCAGAGTCTATCCCAGCAAGCAACAGGCTCAAGGCAGGGTACACCCTGGATGGGATGCCAGTTAATCACAGGGCACAAATAGACACAGACACAAACAGAGACACATTTACTCACACCAGGCCCAGTTTTCCCAGAAGCCAGTTAACCCACCAGCGTGTCTCGGGACTGTGGGAGGAAACTGGAGCACCTGGGGGAAACCCACATGAACACAGAGAGAACATACAGACACAGAAAGCACTCAAGGAATAGGAGCCAGAGCTCCAGTGCTTCAAGGCAGCAATGCTATCACTGCGCTGCACTAATTGGTATTTATTATGAACTAATCTGATTTTCATTAAAAATTTGCAATATATATTTTACTGTTACTGAAGGCATGTACCCCATTGCTCATGTAAACAAATCTGCTTCTTGTCATGATGCTGCAGCTTCATTTTTATATTACCTGACTGCTTGGATAATAGAAAAGGAGCATATAGAACCTTTAGCTATCAAGAGAAATAAACGGCTGCTTCATTCTATGGTCTGCTGATCCATAGAAAAAAACAGAATCCTTATTGCGTGCCATAGCCATACTCTCAAATGCATCACCAAATCTCTCATGCTAAGAAAGTTATTCAAGCACAAGGCAGGGTACACCCTGGACAGGATGCCAGTCCATCGCAGGGCCAGTGCAAGCCAGTCATACATGGGGACAGTTTGGAGGCCAAGGTAAAGGCAGAGGGGGGAAATTTGGCCCGGACACCGAGATAACTCCCTACTCTTATTGAGAAATTCCTGGGGATCTTTAATGACAACTGACAGGACCTCAGTTTAACGTCTCATCCAAAAGACGGCGCCCACTGCAGTACTCTGCCCCGCCACTATCATTAAGACCCACACAGACCACAGGGTGGGCGCCCTCCACTGGTCCCACTAGTACCACTTCCAGCAGCAACCATAGCTTCCCATGAGTCTCTCATCCAGGTACTGACTAGGCTCAACCCTGCTTGGCTTCAGTGGGCTTCCAGTTGAGAGCTGCAGGGTGATATGGCTGCTGGCTCCAGGGGTTGTTGTATTTGCTGGAAATATTGTGAATTAGAGATAATTTGCCACAAAGAACCATACCTGATGAAGATGTTTTAAAATAATATCTAGACTGGATCTCAGATTACACGTGTAGATTTATATGCAGGTGTTGGATTGGCAACATTTTTTCAAAATTATGATTATATAACAATAGGAAAAACTAGTGATAAAACAGAATACATACATGAAGAGTCATTCTCGTCTCTCTCCAAGCATGGCAACATTGGCATTTTGAGTCCAGTGGGGAATCTGGCTTCTGCACCTGGAAATGCCAATAATGAATGGAGTTAGCTGGTATCAAATCCAGCAGACATTACAGCCAAAGGAAACTGGAAAGGTGGACAATCAGTAGATGCAGGAAAGGACAGAAGTCAATGAATGTGAAAAACTCTCACTTTGGAGACTGGAGCTGCAGTCTGGGAACAAACAATCTTTAATTCACTTGGACAGAGAGCATGCATGTTGCAGGCTAGTGCCCGAGCTGCGTGTTGGAATAGGCCAGGAGAATCTCCAGGGCTTATTAAACCAGGCAGCAGTGAGGAGACAGAAAAGTACAGAAAGAACGCCCTCATGTACAGCTATAGTACGTTGCAAGTTACCTAGCCCCGCCCACTATTACACGCCAATATTGTTCTATTGAGTATAATTTCAGATGGGCTCTGGCTGACTTTGAGATTTCAATAATTTCTACTGACATGCCGGGTCTAAGGAAGTTAAAGTAAAGAGATAATATTTTTGTAAAAAGTTATTGAGAAAACTTTGTTTTTTTAAAACATTTGAAATGCATTCCTATAACCATGTGGTTATTGCACTTAATTTCACTAATGTACTGTAGAGTCTGAACCAACTTTATCACCCTACAGATATCCATGTGTTTCTGATTGAAGTGTTTGTTTTCCTTTTTAGTATATATGATTTTACATATGCAAAATAAATCTCTCTAAAGTGTTATATAATAATGCATTTTGTAACATAATTATGCTTAAAATTGAGCTAAACACATGCTGTCTCACATGCTTTCTCTTGTTGTAATCATAATTTTTTTTACGAAGTTGTCATGGCTCCTTTGTTCTAGGTGATCTATGCTCTGAACACCAAGAATGACGAGCACGAAGCTGCCATCCAGACACTCAAGGAAGCCCATGAGGAGGAGGTGCAGCAGATCTTGTCAGAGACTCGTGAGAAGATCCTGCAGTACAAGAGCAAAATCAGTGATGAAATGGACCTCAAGCGCCGCATCCAGTCCCTAGAGGAATCCATGGAGCTGCACGAGCGCATGAAGCGCCAGGCCCTGGCCGAGTTCGAGACCTACCGGCAGAGGGTGGAGGACATGCAGCTGTGCACGGAGGCCCAGCACACACAGAGGGTGGTCACTATGTCCCGGGAAGTGGAGGAGATGCGGCGAAACTTTGAGGAGAAGCTGCGCTCCTTTGCGCAGGTGCAAGCCCAGTTTGAGCAGGAGAAGCGCCAGGCGCTGGAGGATCTGAGGGCGGCCCACCGCCAGGAGATCCAGGAGCTGCTCCGCAGCCACCAGAGCCAGAACGCCAACTACAGCAAAGACCAGGAGAAGCTGAGCCAGCTGCACAAGGCCGAGGTGGATTCCCTGTCTGAGCGGGTGGAGGAGTTGAAGCAGGACAAGAAGAGGCTGGTGGAGGAGTACGAGGCCAAGCTGAACAAAGCCCAAGCCTTCTACGAGCGGGAGCTGGATGCCATGAAGAGGACTCAGCAGCTGACAGCTGAGAACCTGCTGGCCTGGAAGAAGACTGAGGCCGAGCTGCGGAAGGAGTTCCACGCGCAGGAAGCTGCTCTTCAGAAGACCTTGGGCAAGCTGCGCGCTGAGCTGCAGAGGGTACAGGAGGAGGCCCGTGAGACGAGAGAGAAATCTCAGAAGCTGCAGAGCTCTCTGAACACAGCTGAGAACAATATTAAGGTATGGCAATCTGTCACTGTGCCCGGCTGTTTTCAATTCTTTGATTTCCATGTCGTAACTGGCTTCACAGCAGGACATAGCCAAGACGTCTCGCAACGAGGAAAACAATACCAGTGTGTTGTGTGTTTTTGTATGTTACTGTATGTCTTAGTGTATTTTTTCTCACTCAAAACGTTTTAAGGAATTGCATACGGAAAATATTAATAATTATTTTGGAATAGTTTTATATTTATTAGTTCATTGTTTATATTAATTTGAGAGTAGTTTTCTTTTCACTTTAAAACCTTGATTATAATCCCAACCACCTTTTAATTGCTATACCTGTCTTTTTTAAAACTACACCGTGTCCTTACCCAGGATTTAAAGGTATTTTATGTGAATTTAATGTTAATCATTTTGAGATTTGGATGAATTAATTAATATGTTCATTTGGATGAAAATTAATATATAATCCTTCATTTAACTCTTCTTAGATGTTAATACAGGTTTGTGCACAAGACCCCAGAATTAGATTTGAAATTAGAATTTTACAAATGAGGTTCATGATAATTTAATATTTTTATCTCAAACATTGGTTACTATTGTATTCAGTAGTCCATTTTGATAATGTTATACCATAATTAAAAAATGGTCCTGAAATATCTATGTTATTGTAAGTCAAAAATATAGAAGTCAGTGACATAGTGAAGGCTTTAATGGATATCACATAACTAAATATGATTTACAAGAATTAAATGAAGTTTCAAAGAAAAACAAAACAATAAAGTTATTCTCAGATATGAACAAATGAACAAATCTTGAGTGAGCTGGTGTCTGAACAGAGCTGATGTCTAACAGATTGTTATTAGGATGGACGCTGGTTCTCATTTCCTCTTTCATAGTTGGGTCTGGTCGTGCACTCATTTGCTATCTCTCTGCTTTGGTTTTGATGTTATAGACCCTAATGTGGTCTTCAACAGACAATCTTCTTAATCTCCCGTAACCTCTTTCATAGTCCTCCAGCACTGAGCTCCACCTGGGCAATGCAGGGAGGATTCCAAAAGAGTAGTAGTAAAAATGTGAAATTATATAATATAAGATGATTTATAGGCCTAGAAAACAGAATAAATCTTTATATATGTCTCTATTACTACTAAAACATATTTTTGCAATACAAATAAACTAAGTATATAGAGGACTATACTATAGATCTAGATCTTGACTAGTTTCTGTTGGTTTCTTCACTATGAAATCTCTCCTCTGCAAAAACCTGCAGATACTGTATATTTATTATTAAGAAGTAGCCTATCTACTTTTCCATTGCTCATAAATAACATTAATATATCTCTCTTTGTTGAAGAGGAACTGCATATCTGAACTGCAATGATACACATTTTTTAACAACAGTCAGAAATCTGTCTGGCAATAACATGCCTTCTGCGTTGCATGGATTGCACTTACTCACTAAAATGCTTGACAGCTTACCTTCTTTCCATATTTTGACCTGCTGTGTGCTGAAAGTTAGATCATCAATTAGTCATTTAAATTTTAAATGTAAAAATTTAAAATCTTCTGCATGGCAATAATTAAACATAATGGTTTGTAATACTGATGACTCAGGAATACTATGGCAGACAAAAGGTTCGTATGCCTTTGATTATCCTTTGGAAGAAAAATTGGCAGAATTACCTCCTCTTATTTGACATCTTATTCTTCTTTCTGAAGATAGAAATATTATCAACATTCACTGAAGTTTTAATGTTCAGACTCCAACATGCTTGCATTAAAGCTTGAAGAACTGCTCTTTATTTTGGTGAAAGATGAACTTTCAGTACAGTACATGTGGATGCACTTTTTCAGGATCTCCAGAAACAACTTGAAGAGGTTACACAGGATGCAGAGATTCTGATGATCAGACAGAAGGAGACCGAGTGTGAGCTGGAGGCCACTCGTGACCGCGTGCAGCAGCAGGCCACCGAGATTCTCCTGAAAGCCAGTAGGAACCTTATTCTTCTGTTGCTTCATCATCAGTACTATTAGTACTATTGCTATTATTGTAGTTGTTGTTGTTGTTCTTGTTTCTGTGATAATAATAAGCCCAAGAAGAATGCTTACTAGGATTCATAGTGTGAGTATAAGCAGCGGGAGGGTTTACATGCAGTCCGCATGTGGAGGCAAGATTTCCACTGCTGCAAGAGCACAAAAGATACAGTGCAAGTGTGTATAGTATGCTTATTATTCATTATTCACTGGGGAATAATGCAGACAAAGTCCATTGTTTCTTATGTTTTATTCCTATTGACTTTTTTGTTAAATAGAATAAGTGTTAGAATAGAACTATTTTAGTAGGGTCGCCATCTAAAATACCACAATAGTGCAGTACATATCTTTCATGGGAACTGAAAAAAGGCATTGTGGCTTTCATTGTGCACATTTTCATTCTCTTCTCTCTGTGTCCTGCTGTGGCAGTTTGAGTGGTGCAGACGGCCCAGCCTCCAAGGCCCCACATTACCTGGCTGAACCACTGTATGGCACAGCTGGGTACAGCTGCCAGCTCTTTCATGCCTTGTCACCCCTGATGAAGAATAAACCCTCAGGCAGGGACTGGCGCTTGGCCTTGCTGCACACCTGTCTCGTGGAAGGACATGTGTCTTCAGTTGTGTGTGTGGAAGTGAAAATAAAATAATAGAATTAAAGGTTATTCACAACATCCAGCAGTGGCAGTGTGAATGTTACACATACTAGAAATAGGCCAGAGTTTGCAAATTTTGTTTAAAATAGTTTTTAAGAAAATAATACTGGTCTTAAAGTCTGTTTTTTTAACTTTTGCTGATTTTATTGACATTAATGACATTTTCCTTGAAGGTTTTGGAGAAGTGAAAGATCGAGTACTTATACAGGATATTTCCAAAACTGGTCCTTTTCTGTTCATCAGAATGCAGGAGGGCCGTTGCAGCTTTGACTTTATTCTCGTTGCTGGAACTACATAAAGCTTTCTGAATTTGTAAAACAAGAACATTTTTCTGGAGTGGTCTGTTTTCACTTGACTTTCACGTCGATAGAAAATTAAAATTAATGATTGCTGAAAAACTCATCAAAATAAAAATCCAAGGAAACTAAAGCACACCAGTACATACAGTATTAATGAAGCACAGCTTGCATGTCTAGTACCATGTTAAAAGGCAGGCCAAGTTTGCCAGATCTGATTTTCACTGATGCCTAACATCAATACTTATATAAGAGTTCAATGAGACTCTAAGAGCACATGAGCTTGTACACAGTAGTGTAGATGTTTATATTTGAGGCTATCAGATTGGATATTTATGTGCTGCATGGTAGATACTGTACGGTGTATATAATTAGAGAATTTGTACATTGTTTCAGCAATGTAGTGCTTTGAATGGTTTAGCTATGGTCTAGGTTTTCAACAATGATTAGATCACATACAACAGATAGCATGTCATAGTGTGTGTCAGGTCTTCTGGTTCACACATTGTAAATACATTTTATAGGTGATTTCAGGGGAAATAGGATTTTTCCATTCTTTTTACACATTGTCACAGGTGAATCTTTACATTGCCTCCTTTCAAATAGGTCCCTAAGGGTATGAAATACCCTGGGTTGATTGTAAAAGTGGAACTAGAAGAAATTGCTCCATAAAGTATGTCCAATTTATATTAGAAAATTTCAGATGGTTTAGACAGCTTCATGGACCTGCCTTTGTTGCTGTGGTACAGAATAGTTCTAATTAAAACAAGTGCATTGTACAGCCGTATCAGTAGAAAACAGGAGATTACTCAGTATGTTTCTTTAGGGTACACCAATTCTGAATAATATTAATCTTGGAACCCTGCATCATATTTTTAAGCAAGTGAATCTGATACTATTACTAATCATAATCTGTGAAATGTGCCTATAAAGTCTTGAAGGGGAAAGGAATCTTGGCCTCTCAGATGCTAAATGTATAGATCAAGGAACTTTATTTTCTACTTATTTGTTTAGTGTTTATTTTTCAGTTTATTCACTCTTTTTACCATGTTAATTGTTGAATTTCAGCAGTTTTAATGGTTAGGGTTTTTGGGCTTTACATTACATTTATGAAAACAAACTTAAAGTAATTAATACTAGAATTTAAAATTAAGTAAATGTTATCTTAAAATAATCCAGGCTGAATTATTGTATGTCTGGGCATATATATATATATTTCATATGTATATTTTAGCTTTTAGTGGATGTTTCCAATTTTCTCCAGGCCACATTGGAACTCTTCAGGCTACACAAATGACTCATGAAGCTGCGATAAGGGATCTGGAGTCTGAGAAGTCCAGACTGAAAGACAAGGTAGTCCGTCTGGACGAGGAGAGGACCGTGTTACAGAATAAAACACAGGCTCTGGATGAGCGACAGAAGCAACAGATTCTCTCCCTGGAGAAGGTAGCTGCTGAAAATGGAATACAATTATTTTAAGTGCATTGTTATGCTCTGCTGTGAGGTGAATATTGCATTATGGAAGTGCTCAACATGACTACTTCACACTGTACTATAAATCCTTTAGGGACTGTCAACATTTCATGCTTAACCGGAGGAAATATTAAAGTCAGACCTGTAATGTACTACAGTTTCTGTAACTTAGTGTAATTTCTTAGTTTTATCCAGTGCATTAAATACTGTATATTTTTATTGCATCACACTTTGTATGGAACACAATTGATTATCTTTTAAAGGAACAAATGCAGCTCCTGAGTATATATTGAGAAGAATAACAAAAGGTATTAAATTGAACTGCTTATATTTTATTTTTTATAAGCATTTTATAATCATTGTAGATGTTCTGTATACTGGTTTATTAATGCATTTTCTATGTTTACATTTTTGATTTCCCATGAAATATTTTCCCTCTATAAATTAATAATCAAATAATAACCAAGGAGTGAAATGGTTTCAGTAAAATATTGGAAATATATTTTAGATATAACTTACTAGTTTTGCCATCTCTCTTACTAAATATATTTTTTAATTCTGTCCTTGTATTTCAGTAATAACATTTCAGTAAATACATATTTATTTTCAAAAATAATCATTCAAAACACACAAGTATGTAATAGTAAAATTATGGGAACATTCTGTTCTCTTGTTTTTCTTTTCTGTTGCTGCCAGTAGTGAAGCTATTCAAGAATAAGCCTTGAAAAGTGTTCTAGTCTAGTCTTCACCCTGCTGGTGCGCTGCTGTAGCTCCAGAGCAGCCAGACGCTTGGGCAGCTCGACACAGCTCCTCCTGCTTCACTCTAGGTCCCCTTGCAGTTTGTGAAATCTAGGGATCTGTTTAATCAGTACACCTGCAAAGGTTTTATAATGAGGAAGAGTTCTAAACAGATTCTTTTTTGTCTTAGAATTGGATTGTTGAGCTGGTAAAATTAGAGTTGATTAAAGTAAGTCGAGTTTCATAAGTACGTCTAATTGTTGGCTTGTGTATAGGGATGAGCTAGGGAAAAGAATAGGGTTCGGTTTGGGGTTTGGGTTAAGGTACATTAAAGTGACAAGAAAAAGATAAGCAAAAGATTGCCATTGTTAGGATGTGTAATTGGTTGAATCCTATAAAACGTTTTCTATGAAATGCAACACACAAACAGCTTGCCAAAGGGTCAGGAGGAAAGGTTTCATTTGACATTAACGTAACATTGAAACCAAAAGCTGCAGTGACACATTACTGTATGTAGCACACAGTAATGTTTTCTGCAGACAGTGATGTTATAGAACAATTCCCTTACAGCCCATGAAGCTAATACAGCTGAAAATTGCTGCAAGCACAGGAGATTTGGAGATGACTTGATCATTCATGGTCACTGCAGTGTTCATAATATTGCTATTGAGCATAGCTTTTAGCTTTAAATGAAAAGAAACGTTTTGGAAAGCATAATTCTGAGGAAACCAGCTTTCACTGGTATAAACTTGACTTTTGTTCATTTGCCGTTGCCATCTCTATGTCAGTATAACAAGCGGCATAGTAAATTGCAAATGCAACATAAAAAATCAATTTGTTCTAACTTTAATTGTATCTGCTGTTACTTATGCTGTTCCTGTTGGGCTGGGATCAGTACACCACACATTTCTTTAAGTTGTGTAAAATGTGTTTGTGAAATTAAAAACAAATCTTGTGAGATGGAAGTAAAGTGTATACTTCCATATTTGTCAATATCAGATAGGTCTGAAAAATATTTTAATCAAAATAAAAAACCATAAAATATGTATTAAATATAATCTATATCAGGTTATAAAAGCCTTATAGTCAAATTCAAGATATGCTGTTGTTTATGATGAGTGATCATTTCCTGTAGTTGGTGAAATTATTGGACAAGATTAATGTCTGCTCTTATGTGGCCATTATTTTGAAAATGTTGTTTACTGTTAAAAAATTGAAAAGGTAAAATTTTATTCCATGCTGAAAGATTCTGGTTTTCTTCAGGTGTGAGGTAGAGAGTGAAAGTCAAAAGTGTTTATTTTCCTTTCAGCATTGAATTAACTTTGACCTCTTCCTTTGCACACAGCTATATATTCGAACCTGTATAAAAAATATGAATTGGATTCAGCAAATGGCTGGTAAGGTAACAGAAACCCATCCTTTGCTTCTGTTACTCGGTGAATGTTAAGTGTTCCTTCTCTTCACAATACAGGCATTAAAGGAGGAAAAGCAAAGCTATGAAAAGGAGATGATGAACATCCGTGCCAAGTATGAGGAGGACACTGCTCACTTCAAAGAGGCTCAAGCCAGGGCACTGGAGGAGTTATCGAAAAAGCACCGAGCAATTCTAGAGACCACACAAAATACAGCTGACCGGGAAAAGAAAAGAATGCAAGCAGTAAGTATTTCTGACCTGTTACCTGCTGAAACTGAACATGAAGGAAACTGGTATGGGTACAGAATATACTTTTTAGCAGCTTGATTAACAGTGTGAATTCAATCTGAGGCCTAAATCAATTAGAACATTGAAAACAAGAAAAGGCTGCAAACAGGAGGAGACAGATGTGCCCATTTCCCTCATATGGTAGTTTAATACCTGAGTGAATGTGAATTTTCTTCTGTCCTCCTCCTCAATGAGCCTACAGTCTGAGTCTTAACTATCTGGCAGGGAAGCCTGTTCCAGACACCCAAAGAAGCTCTTTTTAAGATGTTCCTAATATTGTCTGTCTTAAATAACTTTTCTTTTAGTTTCCAATTTTAGTTGACAATCACCTCACACTAGGAATCATTCCGACTGTTTCTCTTTGAACTCTTTCTAAGGCTGTAATATCCTTTTTGTGATATAATGAACGAACTGAACATATTTCAGTTTTATTCTGTAATCTGGTCTTTCTAACGTGTTGTAAGGCTTATGCAGCAGTTCATTTGGTTTAAATTCCACATGTATACCTACACATTTTGTTTTCTTTTTAAAGGGTTAAATTTCAGATTGGAGTAATATAATAAGTTTATTATATTGCTTTTCCTAATATGTATCAATGATATAGATTCTGATGTAGTCTGTAAACCTTTCAGGTTTGTAGATGATAATAATATAGGATAATAAAAAATACTGTAGAAGCTGCATTGGAAATTCAGAAAGATAAAAAGCTAAGGCTGGGCAACCAATCAATTGAAATGATAGCTGAAATGTAATATTGACAATATTTATCAAATAGAGAGCAATCCAGGCAGTTAGCAACTATAAATACAGTGTCCTGCATTAATAACTTAAAACTCTTAACATTCTTCTAATTACTGTATATTTCTAATGTATAGTCCCTCCAGAAATATTCGAACGTTATAGTCAAAGGCAATTTGTATTTGTGATCATGAGATTAATATGATATTTATATAACATATAAATAGTTTGTTTGGGGTTAATTTCATGCATGCATATAATCATTACAATTACCCAGTGGTTTCAAATGAACAAAAGTATTGGGACTCATTCACTTTGAGTACATTTCAGATCATGAAAGTAAGTATTTTGTTGTATATCCCTTTGAGGTAATAATTGCATGTGGGCACAGTTCCATTTGTTAGTTCCAGGTTTTGAATAATACCCCTCATTTCTCTATGACACGGAAAGTACTATTATGGCCCTGTGATTTATGGGTTTGAAGCTGTCCTAGTCTCTTTAATGACTCAATGGCCTAGGCTCAATGACTCAATTCTAATGGTTTTTGAAACCTGGTTATTTATTGTCAACCTTTACTAAAACGCTGCGTGTAATAATCATATTTATTGTTTGTTTTTGATTGTATTATTCGTAAACTGTCCGTCAACGTTTACTTCGGTGTTCACGGTTTCTTTGGTGTTACAGCATTTGAAAACATGTTTTTTGGATTTCTAACCTCGCTGCAATATTTTTTTGGACTGTTTTTGCTAATTCTAATATCTTCTCTTTTTTAATCTTGCAATCTCAATGCACTTTGTAGAGCACTCTCTTCCTTTAAATTTCTTTCTTAATTTCTCCATTGAACCTTTAAAGCCGTGTTTTCCTAGACTTCAACTCAATCTAGTTTGAGCCTTTAATATTGTGATTTTGAAGTACAGTATATCCATTCTTCTTCTTTTACCTCTGTAAACATCTGTGCCTGTTTCTCTAATTGTGTGCTCTTATTTCCAGGAATTCATTTTTTCCCATCATTTCAAAATGTAGCTCCTGCATGTTATTTTCTGTTTTGTCTTTGTTATTGATTGAAGTATTTATTTTTCTTAAAGGGAGAAATTTGGGAATAAAAGTATATATTTCTTGTAACAGGCTTAGGTGTTGCTGGATAAAGCAATTATTTCTTCATTGGTTAACATTCTGGGAGTGAATATTAAATATGCAGTTTCAGCCAAATTTTGTGAGCTGCCACTTTGATATTTTGGATACCACTGGATCATTTGGATGGAAATAAATAAACCTTTTTGTCTGGTGTATGTATCTGATGAACATGTAGTAATTCTAAGATTTACGACTGACTTAATCCCTGCTAAAACCCTTCAGGGCATAAAATCCACATGTTCCTTAAAGTCTTGTTCCATTTCTCTGCCATTCTTGTGCAGAATTCGTTGAGTAACACCTTAGCTTGTAAAAATGTTTACTATTTAGGTACATTATTTGTTGGAGTAAAAATCAAGAATTGTAAAATTGAAGTGGAGTGAGGAAACAGATGATTAATAATATTAATTGTAATAATAATTGCTTACACTTATATAGTGCTCTTCTGGACACTCCACTCAAAGCACTTTACAGGTAATGGAGACTCCCCTCCACCACCACCAATGTGCAGCATCCACCTGGATGATGCGACGGTAGCCATAGTACACCAGAACGCTCACCACACATCAGCTCTCAGTAAGGAGGGTTCAGAGAGAATGAACCCAATTCATAGATTTTTTATGGATTATTAGGAGGCCGTGATTGGTAAGGGCCAATTCTCTTTTCGAGAAACGCCCTGGGATTTTTAATGACCACAGAGAGTCAGGACCTCGGTTTTACATCTCATCCAGAGGACGGCACCTGTTTACAGTTTAGTGTCCCTGTCACTATGCTGGAGTATTAGGGCCCACATGGACTGCAGGGTGAGCACCCCCTGCTGGCCCCACTAACACCTCTTCCAGCAGTACCTTAGTTTTTCCCAGGAGGTCTCTTATCCAGGTACTGACCAGGCTCACACCTGCTTAGCTTCAGTGGGTTGTCAGTTGTGAGTTGCAGGGTGATATGGCTGCTGGTTGTCCATCCACAAAAATAAGTCAAAAGAGTTTAGAATTCAAATAATTAAAAGGCTTGTTTTCACAGTCCAAAAGTTTATTCTAGGAGGAGGAAGATGCCTGAATCAATGGCCAATACATTCCAGTCTGCCTGAATAGACATAAGAAGTATTGAGGTAAAGGTAGATAGTTTCACTTTGGGTTCATAGTAATCTAATATTCCCACTTTGCAAGGACAATTCCATTTATGGAATTTCCATGCTATTATTCCTTACTGTCTGCGGCTATACCGACCATATAATTGCTTTCACCTCTCCAGAGTACCTCTGGCAGTCCCTAAGTCATCCGAGTTTAATGCACAATGCATTTTTTGTGGTTTGTTTCTAGGCATTTATCTTCGTTTAGTTGAACTGTGCAATCTGTGAATGTGGCTCCATTTCAGCTGCTTCCTGCAGCTGAAGATCTTTTAAGTGCCCATGAAGTGCGTCATGGTTTATTGTGATATTAGTCACAGCAATGTTTGAAGAGGATTTTGTTTCCAATCTTTTTAGACTGCACTGTGCAAGTATAGATTTTCATGTATTGCAATTGTAAAATTTTAGCCGTCTCCCCCTTCTGTTATTTTCTTTTAATTTGCATATCCTTTCAACCTATTCAACATACTTTTTAGTAAAAATATAAATCAATAGTCAACATTGTTGTAAAAAAATTAAAAACATTATGCACCAGATTATAAATGTATGTATTGTTTGCTGCAAAACATATTTATCTGTGGTTAAATATATCCCTAAGTACATTATATTGATTTCTTACATGTTACCCAGTATATAAAGTTTCAGCTTTGCTAGGGTAGCTTAGGCTGTAGACTTACCTGCTTGTGTAGCCAATTATCTAACTTCATTTATCTGCATGGAAAGGCTCAGACTGGTGTCCAAAATCTGAGGTATTCATCATTTTCCTCTCCTACCACTTAGGCAATATACAGTATCTAGTAATATGCATAAGACATATGCATATTTCATTTTATTTCTAAGGCTCTAAGATAAGCCATGTTTAATTTCTTTACTGAGTAACTTAGGGTGTTCAGCAGCAGTTGTACCAACAGTTACCACTACATGAACTACTACTTCACCTTTCAGGCTGCTTTGAGACACAGTGGTATGCAAAAGTTTGGTTACCCCTGGCTAAAAAGTGCTGTGGACTGGTGAAATGAAAATTAAACTTTGTAATGTAATGTCCCAGAGTCAGTCAGAAGAAATTGAAGCGGAATAGAGGTTGGATATTCAGAAAGACAATGATCCGAAACATACCTCAAATTCAACCATGAGTACTTACAGGAACTAAAGATTAGGGTTTTGGACTTACCTTCACGGGTCCCAGCCTTGAATATTAAGAATCTGTGGGGAGAGCTCCAACATGCAGTGCATGCAAGAAGACCTAAGTATGTTTCTGAGCTAGAAGAGTTCTGCAAGGACGAGTGGGGAAAAAAATCCACAAGCAAGAATAGAAAGACTTTAAGATGGCTACAGGAAACATTTGGAAGCTGTGAGTTCTGCCATTGGATGTGTTACTGAGTACTGACTGACAGAGTCCCCCAACTTTTCCATGGCCCATATTCACTGTTTTATTATTTTGAGTATATACAAAATTGTAAATAAATATTAATCGTGCATTAGAATTGTAGGAAGATGTCATGTTTAAGATTGTGCCACGCAGAGCTTGTGTCAGCTTCTTTTCACTTAGAGATTCACTGTAACACACAATGTGAACAGGGTGCCTACACTGTTGCACAAAACTCTTTTTGAAGTCTTTTATGGCTGCTTAGAAAATGCATTTAAGAATAATGGACTATGCAAAAAATATTCAAACTCCTTTTTTAACATATTCAAACTCCATTTTTAAATGCAAAAAATGCGATCATACTCAGTGTTCCTACAGATAAGAGTTAATACTGATAATTTAAATATAATTTGAAAACGGGTTAATATTATATATAAACGGAAGATGAGTGGATCTACTGCTGTTACTGTATTAAATACCAATGTCAAATTATAAATATTTTAAAAAACTTTTCACATTATTTTCACATCATAAGGCTTTCTTAATTATAATTCCACTGAGTACATCTTATAGGTTATCATTATAAAAATAAAGGAATTTGTTATTTAATTTTAGCTGAAAGCTAAATCCAGTTCATGTGCAGTTCTTATGATGCAGGTGCTTTGCAGAAAACATCATATTCACTGCAATTTAGAAAAGAGGCTGTTTGACTTACAAAATAGATTAAAATAGTTCCTTAATTGGAATGAAAAAAGTTTTAGATAATGATAGTGTTCATATCAACAATTATTGTATCCTTCATGCTGAGACCGAGGTCAACATCTTAAACAGACTGCACTAATGCACAGTCATGAAATTAGTTTTATTGAGGGCAAACAAAACAGTATAGTAACACAGGTGAGCTTTAAGTGATTTAGTTTTTTGTATAACTTGACGTATTGACTACACCTTTTCATCTGTGTTAGGTAATACAGCTCTGCTGTGCCCCACAAAAATATATAAATGACAACATTTTACTACTATTACTACATTACAGTGACTAAATATGTTGCATGTGGGTAAACTATTTAAATGCAAGTGTTGTAACCTAACCAAAGAAAATTTTGGGACATGTATTAGAAGCACATAATATTTCCAGAATAGTTGTTTGTATTCCCTATAGCTTTATGCTGCTTTTCTCATTCCCACCACTACTCTAGGACAGAGAATACTGGATCAGCCCTGGGACAAGGAATCACAGCATTCAGCGTACTAAGTAGAGCAGAATAAAGCAACATTTATTATATATATTCATAAGTAGGGCAGAAAAAACATGTATCATACACCTCCCAAAAGTATTGGGATAGTGAAGTCTATACTGGGATTTCCACTGAATGCCAGTAAAAATAATTTCTCATTAAAACATAACTGATAAGTAAAACACCCTAGTATTTTATTTTTAATAAGGTCAAACCTCTTGGGTCAATTCAACAAATTAATAATAATAATAATAATAATAATAATAATAATAATAATAATAATAATAATAACAACAATTACTTACACTTATATAGCGCCTTTTCTGAACACTCCACTCAAAGTGCTTTACAGGTAATGGGGACTCCCCTCCACCACCACCAATGTTCAGCATCCACCTGGATGATTAATAGTGTTGAACGTCTAGGCTGAATGTAGGCTCTTTTGAAGCTAAAAGGAAAAGAAAAAGTCATTGTTCAGAGCCATTGTACAAAAACAGGGTATACCAAAATCAACATCCTGGAATACACTAAATAAACAAAAAGATAAGAGTATAGTTACCAGTCAGACAGGTTCAACCAAAAAAAAAACCCTGCATTTTCTGTAATTGATGACAGAAAAAAGATATCAAAGAAAACCCTATAATAACTATCAGTGAAATTATCAAGAACCTCCAAATGTCAGGGTAAAAATGTTAAAATCCACAGTCATCAGAATTACAAAAATTACACTGCAAGGTGAAAACCTCTCATCAGCACCGTCAGCACCAATGTCAGATGAAAACTTGCTTGGAAGTACAGAAATTTGCCAGTAGAAATTTGGAAGAATCCTTTTTATTTAAGATACATCGTTATGGACAGGTTAAAGTGCAGAGAAAGAAATGAATTGCAAAGAAAACAATTTCAGTGGGCAGCATGGTGGAGATACTGTACAAACTGGGCAATCCTGGCCACCTCTGGACACTCGACTTACTTCACTAATGATGAAGATAGTGATGGCAGCAACAGAAACAATTCTCAAGTTCACGTTAAACATTTGTCTATTTATAAACTGTAGATGAAAATGCGTCCATACTAATCTGGAGTCATGTCATTATGACAAAACATACAGTCATGGTCTTTACCAGGAGAATAAAGAAACAAATTGAAAATAGCCAAGTCAATCTCTAGGTTTAAATTGAACTGAGCATGCATTTTACATGCTGAAGAAATAAATTAGTCAGAACACCCGCAGTGGCTGCACCAAATTATCTCATATGATTATACAAAGAGCTTGGTCAGCTCAGTCTTAGACTCTGAAATTGACTCACAGGGTATGTGTCTCATACCATACATGTGGTCACATAAATAAATATATTTGAAATTCATATAGTGAATGAAAATATCTTTAAGTTATTGAATACATTGCATGTTTTAATTTTATTTAATCTATGTCTGAAACCATACCAGTGATTTTTTGCTGTGCCAGTAAAAGTAAAAATATTGTGCTCCATATATTATTGTTTTTGTAGTACACGTAGCAGTAGTACTAGTAATAGAGTGTAACATTCGTAATAAAAATGTTGTCTTAGAAAAGTCAATGAGTTTTGCTCCACTAATTCTTGCCATTAAGGAGCACGTTTGATTTATTCTTTGAGAGCCCATCTCACACATAGTGTGACATTGTTTTCATCTCAGGAGATGGAGCAGCAGTTTGAGAAGGAAAAACTGTCTCTGGAAGACCAGAAGCATCGGCTGCGACAGGAGCTGGAAAACCTTAGAGAAGAGCTGACAGCCAAGCTCAGCACAGCCAATCACGAGGCAAGGCTCTCCACGATAACATTAATTCCCTGCCATGTGCGCTGAACCAGAGCTGATCGATCATGACATGTTATTCAATGAACTTTTTAATAAGGTTGTTAGTTCAGGATGAGGCTCACCTGGATCCTCGTGGGTTGTCCTCTGCTTAAAAGCAGCCCATCTGTCCAGCTTTCTTAATGGGGAGAAATTATAACTGGAACTGATAACTTAGATATTTTTGTCCCTATCTTATGAACATACTTTGCTTTCCAGCTATGTGTCATTTATGAAGGTTAATGATTTAGACAGTACAGATGAGCTTTTCCATCTTAAGAAGATTCACATATTCTCACAAATTTATTGTAAGTCTCTTTTTTGGAGGAAATGCTTATTTATCATGCTGTAGAATTACGAGACTTTTAAGGATTGAATACATGTAACATTAAAGGCATTAAATATATTTTTCTGCTGTGAAACATTAAAAATGACCTGAATGATTAGCTTTTAAACACCTAAGACATGTGGATCTTACAAACATGAATAGACTTGTCACATAGTCTTGATTGTGTGGTGCTTACGGTAGCTTGTTATTATATTTATTATAGAGCTATACAATATGAAGTCTGAACATTTATCATATACAGTATATTCCAATAAAGACTGTTTTTGCATTTCTAATATACACTGAGAACATTAAATGTGTTTGAAATGTTCATTCATGTCTATTCATGGTGTTGTTTCAGGAGACATTCTTTAAATGCTTCATGAATATCTGCTTGATTATTTGAGCTGTCACCTGTAGAGGAAATGCAATGAAAGGTAGAAATGATCCTTTGATTTTCACAGAATCTTTTCATTTATTTTCTTAGGTTTCTCGTCTTCAAGAGCTTGTGAAAAAGAGTGAGCATGGCCTGGGATCTGCTGAAGGCCACATATCGAGCCTTAAAGAAGCTCAGGAAAAACTGCTTCAAGAACTTGACTCAACCAGAACTAAGCTGAGAGAAAGCAGTAACTTGTTATCTGCTTTGCAGGTGAATAAATCACAGTGTCTTAGATTGATTCACTGTTCCCCTTGGATTGAAGGTCAGAAAGTATAAACAGTAGTTGGGTAATTGCTTTATGGATTTATTGATTAGTTGATTAATAGTTTATATTTTCTCAAGACACAAGAATAGAATAAAAAGGCGAGGCAGAATGGAAGTCCAGTGGTTAGGATTGCTGCCTAAAAGCACTGGGGTCCCGGGTTCAATTCCAGACCTGTTCTCTGGTTTCCTCCCACAGTCCAAAGACATACTGGTAGAGTAACTGGTTTTTGAGAAGGCTGGCCCTGGTGTGAGCATGTGTGCTTCTGTCTGTGTGTTTGCCCTGAGATGGACAGGGTTCCCATTCATGTTTTACCCTACCTTGCGCCTGTTGCTTGCTGGGATAGGCTTCACCTCCTGCCACTCTGTATTAGATTAAGTAGTCAGAAAATGAATAGGCAGAACAGATGTATTAGAGAGACAATTAAAATCAAATCTGCCCTTAATGATCTGATAGAATAAAAAGAAAATACATGCATTATACTTATATAATATCAGTATCAATATCAGAATTTCATTCAAGTCTTAGAATTTTATGGAAACTTTTTATTTTAAAATTTGTTAATCCTGCAGAATTTATGTTCCTCAGTTGTTTGAAAAATATTATTCTAATTATGTAATGACTGACAAACCTTAATGACTCATCACCACAGCTTATCTTTTTGTAAGCTGTATTACATGTGCGGAAAACATTATTATTGAGTTAAAGGTCTTAGAGAGGCATTGCTCAGAATGTATTTTAGGCAGGCTAGTAGGTTGCATCAATGGGCCTCTGTCACTCATTTGATTGCTAAGCACTCCAATTCTATAGCACTGTAGTTTTGTTCCCTGGGTAGGAGATTTTTACTAGAAGAGGTGATAGGGCACTCCCATCCCCCAGCGTCCAGGGACAGTTCTGATCCTAAGGTATCGTTCTGTAAAAGAGAAGGGGATGAGGAATCAGGGCAGCACAGACTGGAGCCATACAATGGTGATTCTAAATAATCTGGATGGTGGTCTGGCTCAATTCTGTCCACTGGACTGTATCTAGGGCTCAATTCTGTCCACTGGACTGTATCTGGGGCTACACTCTGTCCACTGGACTGTATCTGTGGCTCAATTCTGTCCACTGGACTGTATCTGGGGTACGAGTCTGTCCACTGGACTGTATCTGGGACACAAGTCTGTCCACTGGACTGTATCTGGGGCACGAGTCTGTCCACTGGACTGTATCTGGGGCTCAATTCTTTCCCCTGGTCTGTATTTGGGGCTCAACTCTGACCCCTGGACTGTATTTGGAGCATGACTAGTTAAAACTTCCCTCTGGATTGGCTCACATTCCCTGTTCTTCTAGGCTGTTGCCGAAATACAGAGTGAAATCCATATCTTCCCGTCATATAAGCCTCTTAGCCCAGAGCAGTGGCTAATTCCACACAGAGCCTATTCAGACAAATCCTTTCCCTCGCATGGAATCTCCTACCTTCAGAGTGCCCACTACTCATTCATACCAGCTGTGTCCCATCCTGCAGCTTTTCTTAACAGGAAGCCAAGAGCTCACTACATCACACCAAAGTCCTGCAATATAATATAATATCAATTTATCCAGTGTCCAACTGCTTAATCAAATTCAGGGTGGTGAGGGAGCCAGAGCCTATCCCTAACCCTATCCCAGCAAGCAACGGGCGCAGGGCAGGGTACGCCCTGGACAGGACACCAGTCCAACACAGGCACACACACACAAGCCCATACCTGCCTTACTGAAAAAATAATTATTAATATTAATAATATAGAAATATTTTAATTTACAGGTACAGGTACAGGTGTATTTCACTGCTTAGCTCCCAAATACTGCATCTAGCTGAGTTTATTTTTATATTTTGTCTTATTACACCAGGGTACATTGCTGATTAATCTAGTTTGCTTTGATGTCATTGTAATGGCAGCCCTTTTAAACAAGAACATAACTGTGATTACATACCTTATATTTATTGTAAATGAATAGCTGTGATTAAATACTGATGTTTAATTAATATTTGCAAATTAAAATATTGTATTTGGCTGTATACATTTATTATAGCATAAATCTCACATATGAATTTAAAGTACAGTTTTCTTTCAGTATGTACATATGTATAACAATTAATATATACGGTAAGTGCTATCTAAAACATTTGTACCTGAGGTTTTTGTGATTTAATCCTGTGCAGACTTCAGTGTTACTCCTGCCTTTCCACAGGGAGAGATGGAAAAACAGAAACAGCAGCATGACGCAAAGCTGATTTCAATTAAAGAGGAAGAAAAGCTTAAAATGGACAAAGTTGCTCTGGAGCTGGAGCTGAAGTGGACAGAAACCCTAAGGTATCTCTTCTTGTCACGACAGATTACTTCCAAAGCTCTCGTAGAGCAGTCCGCTGATGCGTTGCAACGTTCAAAATTACTTACAGTACATACATTACTCCCCATGGGTGTTTCTCAAAGTCACTCTCCGCTTGAATCCATCTCTCCTCGCTGTGCTGCAACACTGGGAGCCCGTCTTTTCCTACTACAGTATGTGTAAGTGTGTGATCATCGGGTGCAGGTGGTTTTTATCCCAGTTGGTTGGTGATACAAATATCACTGTTATTAGACTGAGCAAAATAATATATTGGGCTGATTAGCAATTATATAGCCTGTTGATATTTGTTAATTCCAAGTTTAGGACCAATTTGTAATTCCTAAACCGTTAAACATTAACTCCTTAAGCAAAAGCTGGACTAAAATAAACACTGTTATAACACAGAAACATAAATCTTTTATGTACATTATTAGTATATTTAAGAACCAGGCTAGTATGGTATTTGGTGTGGGTTATATATGGAATAAATTTAAATAGTTTATAACTTGTTTTTGTCTTTACTATTAAAATTGTTCTCGAAACTAAATATTACTTTAAGAATTTAGCTGACAGGAACAATAGAGAATGTAAGAAAACTGTTCTCTTCTTCTGTACTGCATAGTAATAAATCACTGAGACATTTTTATATTAAAGTGATATATTAAAAGGGCCTTTTGAACAGTATTATAATTAGATTCTGTTATTTTTAGCAATTTTAAAATGATTCAAAACTTAATTGAGCAAAAATATGTTGAAATATATATTCTTTTGAAGCATGCATTCTTGTCCATATTTGAATTGGAGAAATAATTTAACCTGTCACTTCTTAGTGGATTACAAACAAATAAGCTCATGTCAAAAGACTGGAAAGTGTTTTTGCAAGTCTTTTTTCTAAAGTATGAATCATTCTCAAATGAAAACAGTTGGTTTGAGCTTTCATTTATCTCTTCTGGATAATGGTTAATGTGTGGTGAATGCTTCTTATTGCAGATAATTAGCTACACCAATGATATTTTGTTTAACCTGAAGTGCTGGATGATATGTGTTAGTGATCCTATTAGAGTCAACGCGTATTTTGCCATTTACAGTTGGAGACAAACACGTTATAATCATTTAGACAAACAGCACTTGAGTCAACCAATAGCAGAATTTCAGAAGGTAAGACTTGACAGCTGGAATGGCAATATTCTTAAAGGCTTATAGACAGTATGTAGTTCATACTTCCCCTAAAAACGACTTTGATGTTTTTACTTGTGGGTATGTTTTAAAGTTTTAGAGGCGAAGGCACATTATTAAGTTGTCAGTAAAGATAAAACTGTTTTCATTTCTCAGCAATGTTGACAAAGAACCTCCAGCAGCACTGACAAAAGAGATAGAAACTTTAATCAGCTATCACAAAATAATGCTGCTGCATGCTCAATCTAGAGAAATCCTTTTGAAATCATAATAAGAAATCTTAAAGAATACAATAAAAGGAGATACACGAATTGAAGTAAAGTGCTATAATCCCACAAATGGATGGTTATGAAGCTCTGACAGCTTTCTTGTCTCAATTTGTTTGTGCTTCTAATGAGCAGTTTCAGATGCAGAAGTGGAGTACTAGTAGATGTGTGTTTATTAGATATGCACAGCAAGAAAATTATTTACTTTCACATAACTGGAGTGAAGATGTGCATTATTCCACTGAGCATTAAGAATTGTAAAATGCTTTTAATGCCGTGCTGCATATGAAATATTAATTGCTACAAGATCTTAGAATGCATGTAAATCTTTAGCTTTAAAGTAGTCAAATGAAAATATAAAATTAGTTTATGTGCTCCTTTAAAATAGGATGGAAGTAAGTAAGTAAGGAAGTAAGTAAAAGAAAGAATAAACACATTTCAGGCCTGGATTACAAGCCAAAACTTTCCTCCAGCTGCTAGTGATTAGGTTGGCATTTCATGGCCACTTTGGTGTTACTCTCTAAGTGTTGGACATTCTTATGGCACCTTGAGAAACTAATTTACAGGAAAATGCTTTTCTGGAATATTTTCTTCTATCGAATTGACTGTCTAATGAGAAATAGTATCATTATAAGTGATTGTTTCAAATATTTGCAAAATGATTGGCTCTTGTAAACTTGTATAAGTGTCCAAAGTTGTAAGACATTGTTAGTATTTTTACTTGTTTGAAGTTTCAAAAAATTTAAGAATGAAGTAAAAATAGCTGACTTATAATCATATACTGAATATGCCTTTCTCCACTAACAGAACATGTCATTCAGTTTTAAGGATCTGCTGAAATCCATAACACCATAAAAGAACCACATCTGGATCAGAATTATTTAGAGATTCATGCTTAACCATCACCCAGTTCACTGAAAATGAAGTGTATATCAAACAGCTGTGGTGTGTAAAATCACAAGACCACAGTGTAGTGCTCTACTACGTAGATTATGTACATATTATATATATTTTTGTAAAACAGCTTGTACTTCTTTCAGTTACATTTGCTGTAATGATCAAACAATGCTAAATGAAAGATAAATGTTATGAGCCCCCCTGATGATGCAAAAATGGGTCTTAGTAATGGCATAACTGTCAGTGTCAGGACTGATCATGTTTGTCAAGCCCCTGTCACAGCGGCCTAGGATCAAGTAAGCTTAACCAGTCACTACATCATAGCCTACACTAGTTGCAATGTTAATGGTTCCACTTTAAGCACTCTGTATCTGAAATAAAGTTATTTGAGAATGTATTATATATAATATCAATATTCTTTGATAAACTATGCTGATTTGCCATTGATACTTCTCACTGTATATGTTAAGAACTTATAAGAAGTGGTAGCTACAACTGGGACATGTTTATGCATTCATGTTCTGATCTTGACAAACTGACGGATAGAGTTAATATTTACATTACATTACAAATATTTAATATAAATATAAACATTTTTTTAAATAAAAAACACAATCTTCTTAAGAAAGCTTAAACATTTAAAGGTTGACAATTTATTGTTGATCATGTTTTATTAGTCTTTTATTGAATTTGCTTTAACATTTCTCTTAATTTGCTGGTGTGGGAGTAACGATGAACTAGTTAGTTGTATGTCAGAAAGTCATTAATCTGGGCTTCTGGTTCAAGTGTCTCCGTGTCTAGCAGTTACATGTTTTGCGAAAAGCATATTCCATTTTAGAGGACTCTTACCACCCTCTGTTTAATGACTTCCAATTACTCCCTTCAGAATGCCGATACAGATTTCCTCATTTAAAAACAAATAGGGTCAAGTTCCTTTTTATGCTTGTGGCTACAACGCTGACAAACCAACCGATTCTTTTGTGTATTTGTGTTTTGTTTGTGGGTTTTCTATACACTGTAAAACAAAGAGTATTAAAATATCTCAGTTATGTCACCATCTCTGTTTGCAATTGCTTGTTCTTAAAAAGCATTGTTTTCATGACATGGGTGTGTCATGGACACTGGAGATTAATGCGACTGGAACATTTTGAACATTGTGAGTCCTGTTTCAGGCAGGAGTGTAAGAAGCTGCGAGAGGAGCTGAGAGAGGAGCATGAGGAGGGTAAAAAGTTGGCTCTGGCTCAGCTGACCTTGCACAAAGATCAAGAGATGAACGCTGCCAAGGAGAGCTGGCAGAAGAAGGTGGAAGACCTGCTTGACCAGGTAGCCCAAGTCAAACCAAGTCTTTGCACAAGATTGCAGGCCCTCAGTCAGGAGCAAAAACACAGTCATGAAGCAAGCACATTAGTGGAGGGGGTCTCCATTGTTTGACATAAAGACATCTAGATTTTAAAATACTTTTAGCCATCTGGTTTGAATAATTATTGTTTGTTTTTAAAACTAGAGGTTCTGTATAAAAAACTGAAATAAATAACTAATAACTTTCAGTGACCGAACTGTGGTCAAGACACATTCATCAGTTGGGCAATATCTTTCTATTTTTAAACACATCTGCACTCATATTCCAGCATCTGTGTGTGCTGTGCGGTTTAATAGTCTTTGTTCAGGAAGGGAAGAGGTGGCTTGCTGCAGGGGATCCAGAAAATAGTCTCACCTTGGACACTATTCCTTTCTGATAGGGTCCAGGGTTGCCACAGTCTTTACCTTAATAGTTTAATCTTCCAAGAATGCAGGTAGTGCTCCCAATAGCCCACTTTATTGGGATCCCAGAGTCTCAGTGCAGAGTCTCGGTCTGGGCTAGGCTAGGCTCTCTGACAATCACAGCCAGATCGCAATCCTATGGAGAAAAGATATAAACCAGAACAAAAATTAATGGTGATTTATAGGAAGCAACAAAGTCCATAAAACAGCAACGAATGTCAAACATGTCAGTCATGTCTCAGCTGCCCACGAGGAGCTGTAGTTACACCCAGTCCTGTCATCACAGTACGTGACTGGAGGCATCCGGGCTCCACGCTGTGGACCAGGGTTTAGAGGCTTCAGCAGGAGGGGATACGTTGTGGGAGCTTGATTTTCATCCACTGTGTTTTTTGTAGGGGGAGGCAATATCTTCAACCCAGCCTACCTAAATATATCTATTAAGTAACCATTAGAAAATAAAAGATTCTGTGGCTTAGTTAGTTTAGTTTGTTTTGCTTTGTAGAGTAATCCATTAAACCTCCCATTTTTTTGTTCTCCGTTTTGAGTACAGTTTAGCTGTAGACTAAGCAAATGTCTGCCCTTACATTGTCATTTTTACTGTACTCCTTTTGAAACTACCAATTTGTTACATCAGATGTTTGTATTGTATCGTCCCTTCCTTTTTATTTTGCTCAGTTGGTTTCTGAACATGTCCCTTTATTCCTGTGATTTTTTTTCCTCATAGCGGCAATCTCTTGGTGAAGCTTTACATAAATCAATCAGTAATGTAAGTGAGGTTCACTCACACACTTGCTGCTTTGCTATATTGTTCAATTTTTCTGTGTGATCTGCATGTTGGCATTGCAAGATCATTTTCATTTCTACCTGCTCTGGCTTGCACAATATGATGCTGGTTTCAGTGAAGAGAGCAGGGTGTTTATTTATTTTCAAAGGTGGTTCATTCAAGCTTCTGGATTGCCTGCTCTTCTTGGGTTAGACGAATCTACTTCAGTGGTTCTGATCCTTCTTGACTGAATGTGCTCGTTTGCGTATGGCTTTTAGCTACTAATATGCAAAGGGAAGACTTTCTTCATCTTTAAAATAACCGCTGACATGAAACTAACATCATCAAGTTATCAAGCAATGTGCATGAACACTAACTATTTTAGAAAGGCCATTATGTTTATTTCAGTTTATATGCACTGAATTAACTCTTACTGCACGTTGGATTAAAATGTGAATATATGTGTCTATATATTCTTCATGAAGCTATAGAATTTATCTTCTATTATAGAATGTTATAATTTTAATGATATATTTAAAGATAATCAATTTTATTGTTAAAAGGTAATAATATGCTTTAAATGTGTGCCTTTTTTACATAGAATGTCAATTAAGTGTTAACTTTTTAGTGGGATATCAGTCACAGCTGCAGGCTATTTTGATAATCAACCTAAATTGAAAAGAGAAGAAAGGAAACAACATTTCAACTGTATGAGCTCACACCCGAAGAAGGCTCCCCACCTGAAATGTTGTGTTTCCTTTCTTCTCTTTTCTTTTCTTCTCTTCTCTTCTCTTTTCAGCATGGAATAAACCTTTACTTGTTCCTTTGCAGCTTACCCATGCTGACACAGCTACCTACTTACATAAACTACATAAACCAAAAATTATAGAGAAATGAACTGGTTATAAATTGTACAGCACAAGAAAAGTTTTTTCATCTGTTTTATGGCACACACATAATGTGAATGCTGCAATGGTGGGTGTGTATTGTTCCCCCTTTAATGTAACTTAAAATGTTTTTTAATAAATTACAAAAAAAAGGCAGAAATTATGCAGGTAACTACTGCACAATGCACTGTGGGTATGGCATTGTAATAATTGCTGGTGACAGACAAGTTTTTGACACAATTTTATGTTTATATGCATTCTATTTTCACGTATATTTTTAAAGATCTGATATTAAAGGGTAGAAAAGGTTAAAATATAATAAAGATAATAAACTGATTTGTTTTGGGGGTGGTTGACCCACACACATTTTTCTAATCTGGTTTGATTTAAGCAGATATCCTGGAACTTAAAATGCACAAATAAAAGTTATTTTAAAATGTGCACAGAGATAGTTCCCATGTTGATACACTTCAGATGCTTCTTTCTAAAAGCAGTTGCAGGTCTTTTAGGAGTGTTGTGATGTGTGTTTCTCATCCACGCTCCCCAGATCTCCTTGCTGAAGCAAAGCCTGGAAATGCAGCTCTCTCAGTCGCAGAGCTCCCTTCAGCAGCTGCAGGCGCAGTTCAACCAGGAGCGCGAGCACCTCCACCAGCAGCTGCAGGAGATGGCGGCAGTGCACCAGCACAGGGAGCAGTCCCTGCAGGAGGCCCACTGCATCGCCATGCACAGCCTGGAGGAGGCCAGGCAGCAGGGCTTGAAGGTGCTGATCTCAATCGCCGGGGCACTGCTTCACTCTCACTGATAACCACAACTAAGCACTGAAGTCTTTTCTCATGGGGGTCCATCTCAGATACGTCGTTGCAGATCCTAGATTTTGAAGCCTTGCCTTTTTAAGTGAGTGGGTGGCCTTGCAGATTGATTTACAACAACTTATGTGCGATGACGCAAATCCAGACCTAGACTGATTTGAAACTGAGTGCTCAAACATTACACAAGCAGCGTCACATTTTTAATTTAGTGTCCATGGGCGTTTTCTCAGGGTATCCTGGTTCCCTCCCTCCTTTTAAAAAAATGCTACCTAAGTTAACTCTCTAAAATTTCTCCTGTGTATGACTGCATGCATGTGTGTCTGTGCTGGATGACCATCCAGGTTTGTCCTGTCAAATGCTTCCTGAATGAGCTCCGGGTTGCCACAGCCCTTAGAGTGGCAAGTGGCTTTCTAATAATGGCTGGATAAAATGAGTTGCTTCTGCACAGTAAGATATATTCGCTCTATGGCCGGGCAAATTCTTATTTACATAACACTGAATGGATTCTCACATGATACTGGCTCTGGATACATCATTTTGTGGATTTATATTTACTGTTCTATCATTGCAGCATCTTAGCATGTCAATTAAGAAGACATAAAAACACAGAGAAATTTGAGGTTTTGCCTTATTAATATAATGCTTCGTAATGTTCAGGAATGTGCAATAACTTCTCTCTGCCCAGTTTAAATATTTTATTCTTTAAAGCAAGAGTACTCAGTATGGATGGGTGGATTGCAGGCCCATAATTAGACCAAAACTTACTGCGCAGCTAATGAATGAATTAAAAATGAATTATACTGAGTGCATTTCTTCTGAAATATATTAAGTAAATGACTGGGCTGTAGTACCAGTGTAGATACAGAGCGGGGGATGGTGAAGAAACAGTTATAGAATATAGGGTTGACAGCAGCAGTTGGCAATGTAACTTCTGATGAAGAAGGCAAAGAATAAGCAGAGAGAAGCTGGAGGACTTATAGATTGATTGATTCTTTTGTACTTTGACTAGAGGGGTTTTTGGAAAAGAAAATTACATTTTCTTATGTACGTTAACTGGAAGGTTTAAGGAAAAGAAAATATTTATTCTCATGTACTCTGATACAAAAATGAAACAAAATGCTTGGCCTTCTGATGTTATACTTATTGAAGAATATCATTAATACCAGGTAAAACAGAGCAATATTAAAATTCCAGATTTCCAGCAGTCGTTTTACCCAGGTTATTAATATTAATATGCTGCAAGCCTTATCAAAGCTTAATTTAGTATTACTTATTTCATTATGAAAAGTTTTTCCTAGAAGAATATACCTTTGCTTTATTATTTATCCCCGCTCTCTTAATTTCTGCAGTTCTGCAGTTCTGTTATTTCAATGGCGTTACGATGCGTAGTACTGGACCTTATGCAGGCGGTATAATCCGGAAGTGAGTGGAAAAGGGCTACGGGGAAAACACAGTCAGGAATGCATTATTAATGCACAGACCATTAGACTTAAGAACCAGAATCCGGAAGGGAGTGAAAGAGACACGGGGAGGAAACGATGAGGATCAGGGCAGGTGGACGAACAGGGAGGCGTGCTGACAGTGAACTGGTGCGTGGGGGGCATGGCCAAGGCAAAAATGTCCAAGGGAGTCCAGGGGGAAGTCCGGGGCGAAGTCCAAGGTCCAAATCCATTAGATCCATCCATGACACAAACAAGACACAGTTAAAAACCGGAACGGGATCCGGTACAGGGACGGGGAATAAAAATGGGATGACGTGAACCAGGCGGTCTGAGCCCCAGACTCAGCTGGGTCAGGATACCGATTGGAGGCCTATGCCCTCAAGCCGCAGACGTAGGGAGACTTGGTGGTAGGCGGGCCTCTGGGTGTCCGTCTTCCACTGCAGAGCTGGGAGAAGCGAGAGCGCCCGGCTGAGATAAGGAGGGCCAGGATTGGAGACAGGTGCACATAATCAACTAAACTGTAAAAGAGCCGGAGACTCTTAAGAGGAGGGATTACAATCCTTATAAACGGGCTGTGTGGTGGCATGGAGGTCAAAGCTGCTCTCTTGTAGCTCCAGGGTCCTGGGTTCAATTCCACTCTCAATCTTGGAGCCTCCCCATGTTGTGGGTCGTTTCCATCACTTCCAGCTTCTTTGCAAACTTTGAAGTGATTTTGATGCCACACCTACTGCTGGTTTGCCTGACCAGAGAGCCCTATTTTTGTCACATGTGACCATAGCAGCCTGTTCCAGTCCAAGTGCCAGTGCTGTTTTGCAAAGCCCAGGCAGTTCTATTAGTTGGTTGGTAAAAGTTTTTGTTTTCTGGCAGCCCTTCCGAATCGCCCATTAGCATGGAGGTGATGTCTGATTGTAGATCTGGAGACTTGGAGACCCCAAGAATCCACCAAGTTCTGTAATTCTCCAGCTGTGGCTCTTGCATTATCTTTGCCTCCTGAGCCGTCTTCCTCACTGTGCTTGGATGCTTGGGAGCAAGATACGTTTCAAATCTCCACCAGACTGTACCACTGTTCCAGGGGTTTTACATTTCTTAAGTAATGTCCTAATAGCAGTAAGTGGTGTGCTTAGTTTATTTTTGTTCACAATGCCTGATTTCTGAAGGTCAACAGCAATGTGTCTCTTCTGATTTTTAAAGGTGAGTCCTTTACCTTCCCCCATGGTGATGGATTGTAGAGGGATTTTACATGCTTGTTATCTCATTTATACAGTTTATACCCCAGTGAAACAGGAAGCCAAGGAAGAACAAAATAAATTTCCTTAAGACTGAGATGAATATAAAAAGTAGAATGTTAATGCAGATTTAATTTTGTTGGATTTTATTTATGAGAATCTGTAAGGTGTTGTAACAATCTGATAGGCATGTCGTAATGGAAAGTTTAAAAAAAGGTGCATCCAGGCCGACAGACATATCTACACAGCTATAAGGTTAAAAAAAAACACCAGTGCTCTTTATGTGTGTAGTGGAGCTAGTTCGGATACAGTGATGTCATCGCCCTCCCTGCACGTAGCAGGGACCTCAGCTGCTTGGGCTGGGGGAGGTCTCCTTTAGCTCATGGCTTCCTGTTGCGTTACGCAGGAGACCCATGTTCGCGCCCCAGGTGTTGTGGAACGGAACAGGTGGCGGAGGGCATGAGCCCGCGTGGAGCCGTGAGGGTCACGTGCAGTGTGGGAAAATCAAAAACATCACAAACCAAAACAAAAGCCTAAGTTCCTTTTGTTACCATCATACTGTCTTCAAAACAACAACTCACTTAGTCTCCTAAGATTCTTCTCAAAACGCCAGCAGTCATATCACCCTGCAATTCACAACCAGCAGCCCACTGAAGCTCAGCAGGTGTGAGCCTGGCCAGTGCCTGGATGGGAGACTCCTGGGAAAAACTAATGTTTCTGCTGGAAGAGGTGTTAGTGGGGCCAGCAGGGGGTGCTCACCCTGCGGTCCATGTGGGTCCTAATGCCCCAGTATAGTGACTGGGGACACTATACTGTAAAATAGGTGCTGTCTTTCGGATGAGACGTAAAAACCGAGGTCCTGACTCTCTGTGGTCATTAAAAATTCCAGGGCGTTTCTCAAAAAGAGTAGAGGAGTAGTAACCCTGGTGTCCTGGCCAAATTTCCATTGGTCTTTACTAATCATGGCCTCCTAATGACCCCCATCTCTGAACTGGCTTCATCACTCTCTCCTCCCCACCGAGAGCTGGTGTGTGAGGAGCATTCTGGTGCACTCTGGCGGCCGCCGCATCAGCCAGGTGGGGCTGCACACTGGTGGAGGGGGTCCCCATGACTGTAAAGTGATTTGAGTGACGCAGCCAAAAGAGCGCTATATAAGTGTCAAAACTTCCACATGTTCAAAACTTACAGTTGTTTCAGAAAAACATACAGATTCATGCGGTTAACAGTCAGTCGTTCTCTGGTGAGTGGTTCACAGAGGCTCTGCCTTCTGTTCTCCAGATGGCACTGACTGACACAGGCAGCCTGTGCCTCCTGCTTGCTAAACAGTCACCTGACCAGCTGTCTTCCTGCAGCTCATGTCCCCAGAGTTTCTGTGGAAAGTGGTCCCAACGGAGCTGCTCCTTCACACAGTGCCAATAATTTTGACACCCTTCTTTGTGAGAAATAAAATTAATACAGTTCTTGTTAACAAAACATGATTTCTGAGCAATTACATTAAAATATTGTAAAATATTGCTCATTATCTATGTTTTTTATTTTATAAAGCCTTTTGCTCATCCTTATCAAGGGTGCCAATTATTGTGGATGTGACTGTTTACCAAATCCCGATCACTGATATAAATCAGGAAGAGAAGTAATCCTACAGATCACTGTGATACTTTAATAAGTACAAACACATACTGTATAGTGCTGTGGTGCAGACAGTGATGGTTCTAATGATGGCAATGTTATAATCTGTCCGTGACTTCATGCTCCCAAAGGGTGGGCGATAGCTGACAGGAGGGTTTGGTTTGGGGGGTTTGAAAGCAGTCAGTGTTACCTGGGGGTCGAGGGAACTGTCCTTGTTGTTTCTATGCAGTTTTAATAGCTTTGTGCATGTTGCTAAATTTCTACATGAATTAGAAGACAGTTGGCTGAGCTCAGGTACTCAATGTATTTACAACACAGTGTCTACACTGGGAAAGAAAAGAGTAAAGTTGAAAACTTCATTACAATTTACATTAAAATGTGCAATCTGTGGTTCATCCAGTATAGACTCCTGTGCAGTGCGGGGTTAAATCGTGGCTTTGCCTTTTCTAATCTGGACTGTGTCACTAGAGAGGAGACAGCAAAGTTGAACCAGCCAGCAGCAGTGGTACAGTACCTGGGGTTTTTCCACCTTTGAACTTGAAGTCTTCTCTTTTATATCCCCCTTTGGTACTCAGGTTCCTTCATAATACGTATTAATTTCAAGAATTCATGAGATGTGATTGGACTAAGAAGTGTGTTGTTGGAGTACATGTTGCATGATTGCAATAGAAGACATTTATGAGAATAGAAACAATAAAGTAGTATTGTATCATATCTTATTATTTTCAGAACATTTTATGCCATACATTTTGTCTTGAAGAAGGAAAGAAATGTTGCTTTAAAACATGCTCTGAATGAAAAAATCAAAGCGCATTTTGCTTGTTTCTCAGGACAATGAAGAAATCACAGTGGGTTCCTCCGTTGCTAGGAACCCGGTCTAAAATTTCAGAATCCCAGAGAGATTTGCTAGGCTTTAATGTTTTGCCCACTCAAAGTCACTTCTGTTTAAATGTTGTATATCTCTTCATCGCAATGGTGTTTTCTTAACTACACGTGTTAAGCACCTTGTGATAATGTCACGTTGAATCGTATTGATTTTTCACTAATCAATTTAATTATGTACTGACCCATTAGTGTTTTTAATTTGTGTATAGTGATCACTATCAATCACATCAGCTTGTAATGAAATTTCTTCTCATGGTTACATTTGCTTCACAGCCAATTAGTGAACAAATATTGACTGTGAGCAGTGTAACTTCAATTTACAAACGGTCCTGTCAAACAAGGGGACATTCAAACCCCAGAACTGTAGCTCCAAGGGAAAAAAATAGATATTTTAAAATGAAAAACCATATGTCTGTGGTGGATTAATTGTTATAATACTGTTTTAAGACAGGGGGTTATGATTATAAGATAAATATAAAATTAAATCAAAATCTAATCAGGTCCTGAAGCCACCTTGCTAAGTAAGCAGAATTTCTAAAAGATACAACTGTATACTCTCCATTGTCAGGAAATACATGAGCCAGTGTGTAAGCAAAGTGAAAACCAAGCTTCAAACTTTAAAAGGGCAAATATTTATTTACAAAAACATCACACAAAGTCTGCTACAGATATCCATAGATCTGTGAGAAACAGAATGCATCCCTTTCCAGACACTGAAAAAGAGAATTTACCCTCTGTCTTAGCACAAATACCGTAAAGGCAAAAAGGGACTTATCTCTCTTATCCAATGAAAGATATATCTCATGGTTAAATGAATCCCAAAAAGATGCCAAACATTATGAAACAATTTGTATATATCACTAAAGAAATGTGAGATTTGTTTTAGCCAGGTGAATACCACAAATCAGTATTTCCCCTATTTAACACAACAGTCAACAACCCTTACTTACAGCCTAAAGCAGGTATGTTAAGTGCTCAAAAAGAATTATTCTAATGTCTGAGGTCTTTGAAAGAGATACTCTCTTACTCTTTCTCTAGCTTCTGTTTCTTCTCTCCCTATTTCGGTATCATCTTCTTCTTCTGTTTTGGGACCCATTTTTCCAACATAGCATAAATGCTGACAATTAGTTTAGCTAAAGTTAGTTAAAAATACGCACAATTGCCATGTTTTCTGAATCAGGGACATGATCAAATAAGACCAGCTGTGCATCCATACCCAGGGTTACACAGAGTTTTACTTTTAAAGAATGGTGGTGCTTTGACTTTCAAGCACTGTGATGCACTCCAGACAGACGTGACAATATAAAAGCTGTTTTGTATGTATCTGTTTTGTCTGTATTAAAATACAAATTTTCCAATGAGTACTTTACCAATTATATTAATAGGTAGTATAAAATATTGTGAAATAGGCTTAGACATTTTGCATTGTTGTACTCTTTTCCCTCACTGTTTTTCCAGTTTTATGCAGAAATAAAATTCTTATAGCAATCAAAATGCCCCTTGGAGATAATAAAAACTGTCTCTCTCAATCTTCTGCATTTTTTAGATTGGACCTAACTCAACAGTTTAAAATTTGGAGGTTTTATCAATGTGAATATGTCTATTCTTTCAGCCTGTCAGCATTGGTAAAAGCATTGCAACAGTTATTGGCTTTTCTGATTTCTATTCTGCAGTGCAGTGCTTCAGGCAGCACGTGACCTTAATCATGTCACGAGTGAAGTTATGACCTTTTAATTTCTGGATAGAGACAATGTATGGTCCACTGAAGGGAGAAATGAGAAGTAAATTTATTCCAATTGAAATCCAGCCACTGACATCCTCATTTTAATGGTGCAGTATGTCCTGGCAGCATAGTTTTTTATTAGTAGTAAAGTGTGATCATGAAACTGTATTGTTAAATGAAGGTTCTGTTGTGTGAGTAATGGGAATAAGTGTTTTTACAGTTTTACAGCTCACTATTATCCGTCATAATACCCACAAAATACTGCTTGACATTTTGAGATGGTTTACTATTTAATATTTTTAATCAATATGAACATTAGGATAACAGTTTTTCATGTTCATCACTGCAGGTGGGGTTTCGAACACCTGTGCTGGGGGTTTTCTTCCCCTTTCTGGTATCCATGGGTATTCATTTTGGAAGTGTCAAAGAGAATCAATGCACCACATGCTCAAAATAATTTGAAATGTTTCCATTTATATGTAGTTAAGTAACTTGTCAGCTTTATTAGATTGGTTCCATTCATTTTCAGTATCTCTTTTATACTCAGACATGCACGATGAGCTGTAGCAGGTACAGGGCATAACGGGCTGGCCGGTTCATTGCAGGGCAAACACACACATGCTCTCTCCAGCACACAAACTGTATGGGAAGCAATTTAGAGACACTAATGAATCTGAATGCCAGTTTGTGGACTGTTGGAAAAAACAAGAGCAGTATTACCACCTTGTAGCCCAATCTCATCAGAACACAGAGACCAAGCAAAGTTGGGTCTGGTTGGTGCTGTGATGGGAGACGTCTAAGGAAAACTGTTTTGCTGCTGTGAGGGGTGTAGTGGACCAGCAGATGACACTTTTCCTTGTGGACCATAAGAACCAAACCAGTGCTGCTACAGTGTGCATTAGGAGGTGCTGTCTGTCAGATGAGATACTTATGTTAATGAACAAGTAATAGGTTTATTCCATGCTGAAAAAAAGAAGAAAGAGAACACAACGTTTCGGCCGTGGAGCCTTCTTCCCACCTGAAGAAGGCTCCACGGCCGAAACGTTGTGTTCTCTTTCTTCTTTTTTCAGCATGGAATAAACCTATTACTTGTTCCTTTGCAGCCTACGCATGCTGACGCAGCTACCCACCTGAACTACTTATGTTAATACTCGTTTGGTCATTAAAGATCTTATGGCACTCTTTAAAAGAGCTTTTCAAAGAGCTTCCATATAAAGACACCCCATGTCAAAATCAAACCAAGGACCCACTGCTAACCACAACATCACTGTGCCATTTCATCACTTATAGATGCCTATATACTGTAAATGAATTATATTTTTACATTTGGTTTACTAGGTTTGACTTTTACATACAGTATGTAGAACATAATTTGATCTATAGAAAACTTTGCTATATTGATTTGTAAATGGTATTGATACATTGTTCATGGTTATGCAGTCTGTCAGCTCAGCTCAAAATAGGCTACTGATATGTTAAACTACTTATTGATCGCGATTTATTTTAATTTGAAGTTTCAGCATTGAAGTATTCTTATAGCTCCTAAATGTGCTGCTGTGGCAATTTGCTTGTTTCTTACTGAAGCTGATAGTCTATCAGCACTGAAGCATCCTGCCATCTGTCTTGAAGGAGCTGGAGGATCGACTGAGGCAACAGCACTATGAAGAGCTGCAGTGCCTGAAAGAGGCCCACAGACAGAGCATTGAGACCCTCAAACAGCAGTCGGAGCAGGAGCTGCAAACACTTCGCTTCGAGCTGGAAGATGAAGGAAAAGCAATGCTTGGTAAAGAGAGCTTGCAGCCTTACTGTTTTTCAGCATTTAACCTTTTGCATTATGTTTAAGGGCATTTTTATGCAGAGTATTTTCAACAAAAGTCATTTCTTTTCCCTTGTTCTAAGAATTCAAAGAAAAAATAACTTGGTGCTCTACTTATTAAGAAAGTTTCCTAAGGCCATGCTAAACATTTTTAAAAATGACTCAAGTTTTAAACTTTAGATTTAACTGTGTTGAGCCTGATGTCTAATATTAGGAAATGTTATGTGTAATATAATGTCTAATATTAGGAAAAGATTTTAAACTGGGGATTTTAGCAGTATCACAGATGTTTCTATAAAACATGAAATACAGCAGAAACTGTGTTGTTGGGGTCACTGGTAGTATGTTTAAGACTTTACCAGTACACTATTTGTACTTCAAGAAATTAAACCAATTATTTAAAGCATCACATGTAATTATAGGAGTAAACCCATGGACGACAGTGAATTCAGAAATTATCTCTCGTTTATTTACAAGATTCTAAATTGGTTGCTTTCTATGCCTAACAAGAAGTACACTTTTGATAACACATCAGTGCATGACTATACATTACCTGCTTTTTATTTTTGCAAGATTCAATATTTTTATTAACCTCTATATTCTACATTTTTTTCCAGCTTCCTTGCGCTCAGAGCTGAACCACATTCATGCGTCTGCAATCGAGCACCTTCGACAGAGCCACCAGCAGGAGACGGCAGTTGTAAAGCTGGAACTGGAGAATGCGTTGGAGCAGAGCAGACAGCAGGTGAGCTGCTATCTTTAATTGTTTGCACTGGCTCAACAAGAATCAAATCCTGGTAACTTTGTGTCAATGTACTGTAACGATGGTTAGGTATTGTAGTTTGTTCTATCCAAAGCTCAGATTTCCTGGACTCAAAGCACTTTGATTTTATATTGTTTGAGTTGTTTTGGCGTGACAAATTTGTTTGTGTTGATTTTGTGAATTCCTTGTGTAGGTTTAAGAACATTGTGAACACTGTTGTACATTTAATTAGACACTTTAAGCTTTATTAATTGGAAGCTGCTATTTCAGTGACGAATTATGCTTTTGTTAAAGGTATGGTCTTTGGTTTGGCCGGTGAAATAGCATATGTAGAATTACCACTTCTAGAATGTGTATCAATGCCTTAGATTCAAAAGTCAGATTAAAAAAACATATCAGCTAGTCTAAAACAATCATCTTTTCGGTTGAATGCAAGTCCCTGGAATACGAGCAAGTGACCGATTTCAGGATAACTTCAAACAGTACAGCCCAAAGAATCCTGAAAGAATCTGCAGTCTCCCAGGATTTACAGTATCTCACGATAGATTGCCGGATTATACTTTCATTTCATACACTAGATAGAAAATAAAATATCAGTACATAATTTCTAAAGTAACTATAAAACATTTATAAATGAAAAGAAAATGTATAAATTTACTGTAAAAGTGTCCTCTTGCAACTCAATGAGCACTGACTAACAAGTATAGAAACATTTGCTGTGCTTGACTTTAAACCAAAAATAACAGTTTTGACTACTTTCCTAATGCATTTAGGATGCAGTACAGTATATCAGTATGAAAACCTGATGTTCTATATATTCAACTGACAGCAGTATGCTTACCCTTGTTATTTCCACAGTTAAGTATTCAAGTCACACTTGTCACACTTTTTCGTGTGTTAGAATTTGCAATTAATAGTTCTATCCACAGACAAAGCAACACTGCCACATTTTTCTACCTTGTATATAGTTCATTTTGTAACCTTTCAGCTCAACATCATTATTCCTGCCTCTGTCTAGTTGTGTCTCTGAAAAAGCTGTCTCTAGAAATTGATTTGTAAAATTGGTTCACATCTCTTTTGATTTTCTTGAGACTGAAGAGACCCCTCATACACACATTTTTATTAAATTTATTCTTAGTTTAATAGTTAGATGTAAAGATTATTTATGAAAACCTTCAGGGGAATTACACTGAAAACCACCTGAATTATACTTTGCATGATTAGTTTTGGACTTTTAATTTGTCAGACTTTTCATGAATATTATCTAATATCTATATGTGTAAATTCATCATCATGAATGAAAATTAAATCCCTGATAATTACTAAAGTATCTGTAGACTTTATCAGTAGATACTTTTGCTTTAATTTCTTAGTTCTATTGTTGGTTAGAACATAGTCTGTCAATCCACAATTTATACCATGAACACTTAATACAATAGCTTTCATTTTTTCTATATATCACACTGAGTATAGTGCTAAAATAGGGATATTTGCCCATTATTTATACAGCAATATATCTAATTAGTTCAGTATTTATGTTTTAATTCAACACAGGAACTTTTTTAACTCTACATAAGCTTTAGTAGCATATGTGTTTGCCTCTTTAAGATTCACATTCATCTTAACATGTTTCCGAAGGCTTAACAAGCCTCAAAAAAGCTTTTGAGAAAGGTACTGTATATTCGGTAACGTGAGCATTTATCTTACTTATGCTTGCTGATATACACCTCAGTGATTTGAGGTTCCTTTGTTTTCTTGTATGAATCTTCATCTTGCAACTTGCCACTGTTATTATTCATGGCTGGCTTTGCCTTCTTGACCTTTTAGGGCAGATCGTACATGTCAAAATTTAGTTCCTCTTAATGTTTAGCCCTTTTTTGAAACAGACGTCGGCCACCCTTCTGGAGTGTATTTAGTTCGCTTTCCTGTGCTTTAGATCCATCCTACTCCTTAGACAGTGTTCAGGTGTAATTGTCTGGTTAGGGTTAAGTTTTCAATAGTTTCACTCCATTGATGGTGTAATGTATTTCTCAATCTTCTCCATTCAGTTCTTAGCAGCCAACATTACTCCGTCCTTCTTTTCATCTTGTTTTTTCAGTAGTTGCACTTCAACCTGTTTCCTCATTTTTGTTTCCTGCTCAGCAATTTTACAAACGTCTTCTGACATACAGTACACATGAAATTCTTATTAATTTCTACCAACTCATCCTTAGAAACACCCATAGTTACCTTTTACAGTGACATTTCTCATTGCATGCCCTATGAGCACGTAACACCAGGATCTTCACAATGTTATATCCATGTTTTACTTTGGTATTATTTTGGCAACAGTAAGAGTTGCAATATTTAAGATGTATAGATATCTTGTCATATAATCTTTGCAGTTAATTTACTTCTGCAATACTGTAAGAAATGTTATTGTTCTTTCCAAACAAAACTCAAACCCACACACAAATATCATCAATGAACCACAGATGAAAGAGTCTCTCTGAGACAGTATTTCATAGCTCAACTATGGTATCTTAATGAATGAAAAGTTAACAAAATCTCAATTTTATTTTCATTCTACTAGTATTAATGTAATTGATATGATTAGTGGGAGCAACTATTGAAATAACTTGAGAATCTACTGACAATAATTAACACCTGGCTTGTGTCAACATTTATGGTTCTCTGGGAGTTTAAAAAAAGACACTAAGGTGTTTATTTAGTTGTGCTGGGTGTGAGACACATCATTCAAAGGAATCCCATAGTTCACCTTGGCAAATTCATTTCTGGGTAATGATTAAGTTTCATCAACAGTCCAGGAACACGGCATAAAAAGTAGGATGCAAAAAAGACAGAGGGAAAAAGAGACAGAGGGAGGAGAAAGAAATGACAAAGACAGAGAACAGAAACGAAGGGGCAGAGAGAGAAAGGAGCGAAGAGGAGAGAAGATCCTCGTCCAGATTGTCTGTAAAACACAGATTCTAGTCAAGTTTTTGAACCTTGTTAACCCCTGTCTGGGGTTTTGAAGTTGGTCAGGGCGTAGGCCTTTAGGATACCATGTCTGTAAGTTTGTAAATAGTGTACATAACTTGTATGTTTTATGTTTATGTTGAGTGTTGTTTAGTGTGTGAAATGTCATTATTAATAAATAATTGTTTAAACCTGTATGCCTGAAGTATTACTCTCAGGTGCCTCTGATTATATCAACCACTCGGGTATATTCTTAGTAAAATCTTTACAGTTTAGAGGGTAACACTGTTTAATTTAATTATTGGTGAAACCGCTAGGCCTGATTTTGATATCTATTATTTTCATAACCCCTATTTGTAACAATACGTATTACTGGGTGTAACAAATGTGTATTTTTTTACAGAGAAGGTCTGTGTGTCTGTATCTGGGAAAGAAGTGAGAAAATAAATGCAAAGTTATTTGAACTAGATAATGAATTAAAAAGTCTATCATATACAGTACATGATCCTTCTCAATTAGCACAGCCAGACAGCTATGCTATTTACCGGCTCCAAAAACAGAGCCCCTCTCTGATACCCTCCTCAAAACTGACATGTTCAAAACTCACACAGAAACCAGAACTACAGTTTCTTGGCTGGCTGGATGATTCCTTCCTTACAGTCACATAACAGAGGTTCTGCTGTCTTCTCGAACAGCAGATGTGAACTGACTCCAGACAATTCTGCTTCATGATTTAGAAACTGTCTTCTCCCAACTGGTTAGATGATTGAGGACAGCAGGTCATTCCCCACAGTTTTCTATGGAGTGTGGATCGACAAGAAGTGCCTACTGCACTCTTACAGTTTCATAATCAAGGGTCTGCAAAGATGGATTCTATAGCCCCTTGGAGAGAACCCATCTCCCTGAGGAACTCAGGAACTGAACAAGGGAATTGAACTGACAACTCAGGAGTTTTGAGGAAGCAGTCACCAAAGGTATTCACATCCAACAAACTATAAGAAAGTCATAATTTACATTAAAATTATTGATTTATGGATGAGAGGAATGGCTGATCTGGAACTACTGTCTGGGGTCCACAAGCTAAAAGCAGTGGCTCTGTGTCTAAGGACCTGCACCTGTGGCTGGAAGGTTGCCAGTTCCTATCCTGTAGCCGGCAGAGGAATCCTACTCCGTTTGGACCCCTGAGCAAGGCCCTGAACCCCAACTGCTCCAGAGGCGCCGTATAAATGGCTGACCCTGCTTCCTGACACCCAACTTCTCTCCCTGTCTGCGTGTGTGTCTTATGGAGAGCAAGCTGGTGTATGCCAAAAGATAAATTCAAGAAATTGTACATGGCCAATAAAGTGATCTTATGTTCCCACCAGGAGGAGTGTCTTCCAGGATAAAAATGCCCCTATCCACTGTATAAGTGTGGTCACACAAGGGTTTGATGATCAGGGCACTGATGATATCTGATGATAAAATTATCATAAACACCTAAATGTGTTTAGCCATAGCCTTTTCAGTCACCATACCAGTCAAGTATACTAGTCAAGTTTGCAGATGGCACCAAAATAGAAGATTAAATATTGCTACTGCACTAAGTCCAGAGAAGAGCAACCAGATACTGAACTTTTTTATTCCTGAACAGAGACAATTATAAATGGACCTGATACAAGTATACAAAATCCTCAAAGGCCCTGACAACTTCAACACAAACCACAAGACACAAGTGGAAACTCTAACGAAATTTCATTCACAACTGAGAACTGGAGCACTTCTTTACTCAAACAGGACTGTGGAACAAGATACCAGCTATTGTGTTGGAGCTGATAGCCTGGTTTCTTTTCAGAAACGGCTGGATGAGACTCATGCGTCATTTAGTTACTAACTTCCAAGTGGGCTAGATGGGCCCAATGGCCTCTCGTTTGCAACCTATGTAAGAAAGACATGGATCTTAGAGGGGAACCATATTAAATATTACACAGCAGGATCCATAGGTTACTATGGGAAACTGTGCAGCAAATTAAATTAGAAATATTTTA